CATAAATATTGAACAAAAGGGGAGAGAGGACCGACCCCTGAGGGACCCCACAAGTTAGGGGTCTAGGAGTCGACCTCTGTCCCCCTGCCAATACAGACTGCGTGCGGTCGGTGAGGAAGGAGGAGAACCACCGCATAACGGTGCCTCCCACTCCTAACTCACCGAGACGCCGCAGCATGATACCGTGGTCTACGGTATCCCATTCTATTCTATTCTATTCTATTCTATTCTATTCTATTCTATTCTATTCTATTCTATTCTATTCTATTCTATTCTATTCTCCAGCACTGGAGATGGATAATCCACCAATGGATTTAGACTGTATTCCTGCCCAATCAGATCAAGTCAGCCAAAGTTGCCACGCCCGTCCTGGACCATAGATTCCCAGTCTTGACTTGATCTATTCTATTCTATTCTATTCTATTCTATTATCCCATGTTATCCCATATTATTCTATTCTATTCTATTCTATTCTATTCTATTCTATTCTATTCTATTCTATTCTCTATTCTATTATCCCATGTTATCCCATATTATTCTATTCTATTCTATTCTATTCTATTCTATTCTATTCTATTCTATTCTATTCTATTCTATTCTATTATCCCATGTTATCCCATATTATTCTATTCTATTCTATTCTATTCTCTATTATCCCATATTATCCCATATTATTCTATTCTATTCTATTCTATTCTATTCTATTCTATTCTATTCTATTCTATTCGTAAGGGCGAAAAAGATCAAAAATCACTTTTTTTCAGTGCTGGTATAATTGAAATGCTCATTAAATTAACTGTTGTGAGTCAAGGACAATCTGTACAAGTATCTTTTTTTTAATCTATGCAAGCTAAAATAGATCGTTAGATATTTTGAGGGCTCGGATTGTTTCCCCCCCCTTCATTTATTTCTAATCTATTTATTAAGTCATCCCAGGACTGATGAAACTCTGCAAATATTTGAGATCCCCAAATCCTTTATTTTTTTTTCCACTGGGCAATGCTATTTTTGAGCGGTCTCGGACATTTTTGTGATCTTTGAGCTGTCCCAATATTTGCAGATAATTCAGATTTTTGACTCCGTTTCCCTTCCCCCCCCCCCACACACACCCCTTCTCAATACAGTTTCCTTTCTTTTTGGCTGTGGATTGTTACTTTTCGTCTCTGTTTTTTTTTTTTTTCCTTTAATGTTTACATTGCCTTTTTAAGTAGTGGAAGTGACTGTCTGGATTTCTTTGCTTGCATCAATAGGAGAGCGTTTCAAACAGTCTGTATACCGCTTGGCAAAGGCTGATACCTAAAAAATGTAGATTCCCCTTAAAATAAACCAAACCCCAAATAAATAGGGGACATTAACAAAAGGCATCAAAAAGTCAACTCTTTTTTTTTTTTTTGAAGTGCACCGGGAAGCAATCCCCACCTGTGTATAAGCCTCTCTAGGACCACGGTAGGAACCAGAAAATTTGTAACTAAGCAATATAATCATTAACTGAGACATCAAGTGACTTGTGACCGTGCCTGCTGACTTCCTCATTGACTTTGCTTGTCAGAAGCCATCGCAAACAGAGCCACAGGATGCTGCAACCAGGGGGCTGGACTAGAAGACCTCCAAGGTCCCTTCCAGCTTCTATTCTATTCTATTCTATTCTATCTTCTATTGTATTCTATATTTTCTATTCTATTCTATTCTATATTCTATTCTATATTCTATTCTATATTCTATTCTATTCTATTCTATTCTATTCTCTTCTCTTCTATTCTCTTCTATTCCTTAATTCTCTTCTATTCTATTCTATTCTATTCTATTCTATTCTATTCTATTCTATTTCTATTCTATATCTTATATGCTAAATCTATTCTATTCTATTCTATTCTATTCTATTCTATTCTATTCTATTCTATTCAGTTTTTCCTATAAACCGACAGCAAACCGCACTTCTTCCTACCATAGCACTGATGGTGTTCCCTAGTTGGGTCATGAAACGTCTGCAAGAAAACAAGCAAGTTCAGAGAGCACCAAGGACCCATTCATTGAAACTAATGTTCAGAAATCAAGGACTTAGCTGTGATGTGCCAAGGTCACCCAAAGCCATTCAAAAGTGTCCACAGAAGGTCTTCTTCAGCTCATGGTGTTCCTTCCTTTCTCCTTCCCTATGTATCTTCAGGTACCTCTGGAGGACCGGATTATCTTCTCCGGCAATCTCTTCCAGTACATAGAGGAAAACAAGAAGTGGAGGAACCGTTTCAGCGTTGTACCCCTCAATTATGGGGTGGTGCTCTACGAGAACAAACTGGTAAGGTTCTGGATGGCTTCACCAAGGCTAGCTTGGGCTGCTTGGTGGGTGGAGAAGGAGAAAAACCAACCGTCTACAGAGATTCTCTATCATCCAGGTCATGGTTGTGCCAAAGATGCTTTCCGAAAGGCAATTGGACTTTCTCGGGTCTTTTTTCCTTGAAAACATTTCGCTTCTCACCCAAGAAGCTTCTTCAGTTCTGAGGTTTTCAAGGATCAGAATCGAAGAAGCTCTTGATTGGGACCGAAGCAGCACGAGAGATGGTCTTTCAAAGCAGCTTCAGGGATGGCCACATCAAAAGACCCTTCTGCCCCAAACGAGGTCCTCTAGGAAGAAATTCTTCACTTGGCCAGCTAGTAGATCATCAGATGGGACCAGACTCCCTAGATTTTGATTAATCAATGTTAGTTCGGTCCTTCTTTCTCTCTTTTTCTCAATCATGGAGGAGATTCTTTTTAAAAAAAAAAAAAGAGGGGAAAAAAAAGCAGATGTGAAGATCTCAAGGATCAGATGAGGTTGAGCTTGTTTCTTCCCAAAGGACCAAGATAGTCTTTAAGGATCTTTTCTGTGTACAGTCCTCTCTCCGGCCATCTGTAGCTTCTTCAATTTGCAGACTGTCATTCAGTTCCAAGAGAAGACCTCAGGGGAAATATTTATTATTATTATTATTTTTATGATGCTGCTGGAGCTACTCGGGAGGCTATGATAGACTGAAGAGATCCATAACTGGGAAGTATTGGAAACTTGCCAAAGCCACTGAAAAATGAAGACTTGAAAAGGAATTCTCCCGCAGCCTGGAAATTAGTAGGCTGTTTTGGACATACTTGTTTTGAACATCTTGACAAGGTTCCGTAAAGTAGGTTAGCTCTAGGGAGGCCATCAGTATGATAGCTTTAGGGGCAAGAATGTTTGACCACATGAAAATGATAGGTTGATGTGTTCCCATCTCCAGGCCTATGAAAGGGGTTTACAACCCCGAATCCTCGTCAACAGTGCTGGCTACAAGGTCCTCACCTCCCTGGATCAATATTTGGAATTGCTCAGCAGTAACTTAACAGGTAAGTTCTACTTTGTGTATTTCAGCTGGTCCTCCCTGGACACAGGACACTTAATATTTAACAAATAGCCTGATTTGCAGTTTAGACTCTCAGTCATCCAGGTCATGGTTGTCCCAACGGTGCTTTTTCAGGAGGCAACTGGACTTCCTTTGTTTTTCTTTGAAGATGTCTCGCTTCTCATCCAAGGAGCTTCTTCAGCTCTGATTGGATGGTGGGGAATGGAAGGATTTATACTCCTTGCAGACAGCTGGTCATTTGCCTTCTTTTAGAGAGTCGTTGAGGCCACTTGGAGGTTTATCTGTGTCCTCAGGGCCACCTGAGTGGTGCAAATGGGTGTGGAGCTGCTGAAAGGACCGTGTTGTAGACTGGAGGTAGATGACGACGTATCCCTTCCCCCTCTGTTGAGAGAGGGCTATTCAATTTTGACCTAGATGGCCTCTTGGACCCCTCTTTCAAACCAGGAGGTGAAGCCCAAGGGTTTGGTGGAACCTCTTTGGAAAGGTTGGCACAATTCCTGCCTCTTTGCTACCAACTTGAAGGGGAATGGTTTTAACTTGGGTTATCTGGAGGCCACTTTAGGGCCTGGCCGAAGGATCTGTCAAGGATGGTCAGTAAATAAAACTCTCTTCTCAAGTGGCCCTCCGAGCAGCTGAGAGGTCCGCTAGGGAAACGATCAAGGCTGCCAGCCAAACTCCTTGTGAGAAGGAAGCAAACACAAGAAAGATAATTCTTTCTCAGCTGAGCTGGGAGATTTGACCTGGGAAGGTGGCTCAGAGGATCGTGGCAGTTAGGAAAGATCTTTGAAGTTATCTCCTCCTCCTAGCCTTGTCCACAGCTTCAAGGACTCGTCCTTCAGCCTAGGCAGGACAAACATCTGCTGGAAAGAGAGACTCCTGCCTTGTTTGAGTCCTAGATCCTGCCAGATGTGTTTGCTTCTTAGTTTTTGCTCCCAAGTCTCTGGGAAAAAATTTTTAAATTGGTGTTCGGCCCCATCTGTCTGACACGTGTGCCTGATTCCGATCACATCAAACAGGAACATAGGGATCTCCTGTTGTGCAAGCATCACACTCGGGCTTTGCTGTGCTCAAGTTGGGGGCCGCCAGTTGTTCATTGCGTGTCCGTCTCGTCGTTTCCCTTTCCAGGTCCTGCATCCAAGTCAAGCAACGCTGCCATCATCAAGTGTCCCACTCAGTTCCCCATCATCCTTTGGCATCCTTACGCCCGCCATTATTACTTTTGTGTGATGACCGGCAAGGAGCAGGAGAAGTGGCAGGCCATTTTTCAAGATTGTGTGCGCCACTGCAACAACGGTAAGCTTAAAGAACACATGTGTGGGTGGGTGTTTCTCTCCTCCTTCTGAAGGATAGGTCTTCCTTTGCTTTGCCAGTCTGATTTTGGGCGGCCGTAAGAAGCAGACCTCTTCCTCTGATTTGACATGGAAGCAGAACTTGAGTTTTTCAGCAGTCTACATTCTGAGCACAGCCCTAGACTTGTCTGTTGCGTTGTTCGTAGCAATATCGCCCCTCGTTTCCCCCTAAGGATGTCCTTCCTATTCCAAGTACACCCTCAAGGGAGATCAGACCGAAGGTGTGAGTAAACGGCTACGTTTACACATCTCTCCAAGCCAGCGTTTTTAAAGATGGTTTAATGCAGGGGGTCTTCAAACCTGGCCCTTTTTATGACTTGTGGACTTCAACTTCCAGGATTCCTCAGCCAGGCATGCCTGGCTGAGGAATTCTGGGAGTTGAAGTCCACAAGTCACACAAGGGCCAAGTTTGAAGACCTCTGTCTTAAATGAATCTGAAGGAATTCTGGTAGTTGAAGTCCACAAGTCACAAAAGGGCCAGGTTTGAAGGCCCCCCTGGTTTAATGGGTGGGTTTGCTGGTTGCACTAAACCAAACTTAAACAACCCCCGTAATGGACAGGTGGGCATTCAGTAAATGTGATGGTCAAGCGATGAGTTTTCTCACTCTGAGGACACCACCCTAACCATTGCACTACACCAGGGCTTTTCAACCAGTGGTACGGGTACCACCTGTGGTACATTGGCACCTGGCAGGTGGTACGCGACTATCCTAGAAAAGTGGTAGCAGGGGAGGGGAATGAGCTGAACCGGTGGCAGCACCACACAAGCCTGAGCGAGAGACGGCTGGAGCTGCAGGGCTGTCAGGGCTCAGTGGAAGTGCCAGGATCAGCGCCAGGATCCAGCTGGAGCTCGGCGCTGATCCTGGCGCTTCCGCTGAGCCCAGAAGAAGCGCCGATCAGCTGGAATGTTGCAGCCTCTCCAGGGTCTTGTGATTTACATTCAGATGCTTGGCAACTGATTCATATTTATGACGGTCACAGTGTCCCAGGGTCATGTGAAGTGACCAAAACCTGGTGCAACCACCCAGCAGACGGAGGGGGAATAAAAACCAAACACCCCCCCACCCCACCCCCACTGCCAATCCTCAGCAGAAATGTTCACAACAATGAAAACCTCAGATGGGGAAGAGCGCCGCCAGGTGGGCAGGCAGGTATCTTGCTCGGCTGTGGCTTGGGAACTTTTTTCAGTGCCATTGTAACTTTGAACAGTCACTAAGTGAACTGTTGTAAGTCGAGGACTACCTGTACTTTATCACTTTTTTCCTTTTTTTTTTTTTTGGGTCATCAAGTTTTTGACACTTTGCTAGACGACTGGTGGTACTCGGATATTGCCATATCCTAAAAGTGGTACAATGGGTGAAAAGGTTGAAAAGCCCCGGACTACACTACTGGTTAATTGTTCTCGCTTCTCCTTAGTTCTAGGTTGCTGTTCTCTCCTTGATTAGTTTCCATCTATTGCTTCTACCTTCTACCATCTATTGCTTCTACCTTCAGCTGTTTTGTAGAATAGGTTGAGCCTCTCAAGGTCCCTGCACGCCTCTTTGGGAACCTGGCCCTGCCCAGGGTGAAGCTGAGTTGGCAGAAGGTGGCATTTTGCATCCCATGAGCTCCACCCATCCTGCTCTGCTTGGCAGGTTTCCTGCACTCGGGGCCTCTGCGGAATGCACTGTGCGGGAGGAGCAGTCTCTAAAAACAGCTCTGCCAGTAAAAAAAACGATCCATCATTCTCCTCTCGCTGCTTAAGCAGAAATCTACAAGCCGGGCAGAACCTGTCCACCCACCTCACAATAACTGCCCTGTTCTCCTCTTTCTCTCTCTCCCCCCCCCACCTCCCTCTGGAATTTTGGAGAGGTAAAATTTGGTCTTGGAGAAGACTCCAGACGCAGAATAGAGCTGGAAGGGGCCTTGGAGGTCTTCTAGCCCAGCCCCTTGCTCAAGCAGGAGACCCTATGCCATTTGAGACAATTGGCTGTCCAGCCTCTTCTTAAAAACCTCCCGTGATGGAGCGCCCACGACTTCTGGAGGCAAGCTGTTCCACTGGTTAATTGTTCTCACTGTTATGAAGTTTCTCCTTAATTCCAGGTTGCTTCTCTCCTTGATTAGATTCCATCCGTTGCTTCTTGTCCTGCCTTCTGCTGCTTTGGAGAATAAATTGACCCCCTCCTCTTTGTGGCAGACTCTCAAATACTGGAATACTGCTATCATGTCACCCCCAGTCCTTCTTTTCCCAAATCCTGCATCCGTTCTTCATATGTTTTAGTGTCCAGGCCTTTAATCGTCTTAGTTGCTCTTCTTTGCACTTTTCCCCAAAGCCTCAACATCTTGAGAATCCCTTGGACTGCAAGGAGATCAGATCAGTCCAGTCCAAACAAAATCACCTCTGACTGTCCTTTGGAAGGACTGAGACTGAAGCTGAAGCTCAAATACATTGTCCGCCAAATGAGAAGAGGACTCCTCGGAAAAGACCCTGATGTTGGGAAAGATGGAAGGAGTAACAGAGTGGGAAGGGATCCTGGAGGTGTTCTAAAGTCCAAGCAGACGACCTGACATCACTTCGGACAAGTGTCTGTCCAATCTCTTCTTAAAATCCTCCAGTGATGGAGCACCCCACAGCTTCTGGATGGAAGCCATTCCACCCATTAATTGATCTGGGATTATAGAATAGCAGAGTTGGGAGGGTCCATGGAGGTCTTCCAGTCCAACCCCCTACTCAAGCAGAAGACCTTATACCATCCCGGACAAATGTCTGTCCAATCTCTTCTTAAAAACCTCCAGGGATGGACCAAAAAAACAACTTCTAGAGGGAAGGCATTCCACTGATTGTTTTCACTGTCACGGGAATTTCTCCTTTCATTCCAGGAGATTCCAGGAGAATCTCCTCAAATTCCAGGAGAGGAAGGTCTGTTTGAAAATTCA